AAAGGGACGGAGTTTTGAAAAGAAGTGCATCTCAAAGTGCTGCAGAGGGTGCATCTACTGCGGCAAGCAGGACAACTTCGGGTCGCACCTGTGCCAAAGTGCTTCACTTGACACACAAACATTCGGTTGTCCTTAAATGCGCGACCTCTATGGCAGGGAACGCATACCTGATTGCTCGTATGCCCTGTCAAGCCATATCCCAGTAGAACCTGCAGATGCTCCAGCGCGCTCGGCCCATCCTCGCCGGCAAGATGCATGATGTCCTCGAGGAACTGGACCATCGCGCCCCTTGGATGGGACACCCCACATGCAGGATATGGCCAGTCAATCACTTGGCTGTTCATAAACTGCAAAAAAGGAGAGAGGAGAGACTCAGATGCCAAGTATGCAGTAGAGCATTGCAGCTTAGAAACAACCGTCTGACACAACAGACACGACAGACACCAAGTCTCGCTTTGGGCATTCTCAAGCCGCAAGCGAGGCGGAAGAAAGCCGTGCCCAACCGCCAGACACAACAGATAGGACAGACACCAATTCTTGCATGTGGTCATTCTTGAGTTGCAAGTGAGAGGTGGGGACCGCACTTGACTGCTAAACACAACAGACACCAATGCTTGACTCAAACATTCTCGAGCTGCAAGTGAGGTGCGTGGGAGCCGCACCTGACCAGCAGACACGACAGACAGCACATACACCACTTCTTGCTTTTGGGCTTTCTCGAGCTGCAAGCAAGCATTCTGGTTAGAGAGTGCTCACCCGAGGATGATGGGGGAGCAATGCCCCGGAACGAAGGTCAATGACGCCATTCGCAGTAGCCCAAAAGTCCTTCTGCACGTCCAACAGGGCCTTGAAGTCGGCCTGAAAGAAGTACTCCTTGCACGTGCTCACAACGTTCGACATTTTTGCATTGAAGTTCACGTTCACGAGCTTCTCCTTCCCTCCCCTCTTCAACCCAACCCCCAACATATCCGAGATGGTTGGGAGATCCCCCTCCGCATCCTCGCCCCCCTCCTCAGAATCAAACTCGCCAATCTCCAAGCCGCCTACAGACCCCTTCTTTTCGCTCCCCCTCTGAGAGTCGCGCACATACGCAGTCTGAATTTTGGCTAGCTCCTCTCGGAGCACGCGCATGATTCGGCCCCCACTCTCATCCTTTGCCCAGCAGCGGCCGTTCCAGTAGTAGGAGCCCGAAGCAGTAAATGCAAACTTCAGTCCGGTTCGGAAGTAGAGCCGCTCAAGGATGATGGCGCATCCCACGTCTCCTGCAACCATACTGGGGATGAATGAGCACAAAGCAGACGGCAAAAAACAGGAGAGGCACGACCAAATGCCGAGCTACTTGGTCCCATGCAGCTTTGGCTAACACTGAAAGTCACAGCTTGTGAGGCCCTGGTTTGCACACAATGGTCTGAAACAAGAAAAGTTCCGTACAATTGGATCATTGTTTTTGGATTCAAATTAGACTCAACCAGGGATGCGGCACAGCGGGAGAAGTCCTGAAATTTCAGAATGCTGCACATGACCAAGTCACTCGGCAGATGCAATCCTTGAGAAGTCCGTTGGAAAACTCTACCCGTTGGAATTGACATTGTGTCCAAAAAGTTAGGACTTCCACAAGTTGTCAAACTTTCTGTCAAAAAAAGGGGGCCGACACACGTCCGTGACATGAGACACCACCTTAGCGCATATTCCACGAGATTCTAAAAAGGATCGATGAGACACAAGGCAACGGCTTTAGCATCAGTTAAAAAAACGCCTTGAAGCCTTGCTAGATGCTTTGTGATTCTTGAACAAGGACAGCACCCTCAATGCAAGCTGTCGACCTTACTCTGTCTTCTTACCTTTCATGACGCTTAGGTTGTCTCGCAGGAATGACAGCGGGAACAACGTCCGGTCCAAGTACAGATGGTTCCTCTTGCTGTTCAGCGGCTGGCTGTCCCCAAAAGCTGCTGCGATTGGAAGGGGGAGCATGCCAAGACGGATGGCGCTCGTCCTAGAGACCGTCTTGCAGCTCTCCCCATAGCACAGGTAGGTGATTTCAGCGCCCCGCCGCCAAAGCCCAAAGTTGTTGCTGTCGTGCACGCCCCCGCACATTGCTGCAAAGTAGGGGCACGCCTTGCGCCCCCCAGGCGCATTCCTGAAGTCGTAGATGACCCCTGCCCCAGTCGAGGATGGCTTGGCACCGTGGAAGATGGAGGTGTTGTCGCCCCACTTCGACAACATCGCCTTGAGCGCTCTCACCACCTCTTGCTGGAGCTCGGTGGACGCCAGGTCCGGCTCAGAGGATGCAGAGGCCGGCTCAGATGCCCCCCCGCCCCGTGCCCCAACCGCCCGTTTCTTCCCCTCCGCCTGCCAACGCTCTTGTTCTTTCCAGAGCGCCTCTAAGCTCGCCCGCCGGTTCACGAGGTCAATAAGCCAGCTTGGGAGGGGCGGCAGGTCGGTCACGGGGGGGAGCTCGGACCCGTTGGTCAATTCGTACCCCACCCTTGCACCGGTTGCGTCCATGTAACTGCTCCCGGGAGCTATCAGACAAGACGACTTCCCCTTGCCCCTCATGTCGACCCCAATCATTGACACCGCCCCGCCCTCTTGCTCCAGGTAGAGCTTCACGAAAGAGGTAGGTGTACTGTCCGAGAGGCCGGCAGCAATGCTCTTGCTGTGGGAGTAGTACAAGTGCAGCCCCCCACTGCCGGTCCGAACGGTGGGCGCGTCTTTGGTGCCATGCGCACGCTGAAGCGCCTCCCACGACTCCAGGCCAGAGTCCTGGACATCAATGTCCAACCCAAGCAGATCGCAGGCGGTCGTGTTGATCGCCAGGCCGTTGTCGCTGTTGCGCACGGTGCCGCTGTTCAAGGTGGTGGATGGCCAGCCGGACGGCCAACTGACGGCCTTCTTGCGCTTGCCCTCATCCCACGTGATGTCAACCGAAAAGACCAGGTACCCCTGCGCACGGAGTTGGCCGGCTGCCATCTGATCAAAAGAGAAGAGGAGTCTGTCAGGGTTGCTTATAAAAAGGCCAGGTTCTGCCACGAGCCTAAACGACAAAACAATTTAGGAATCATCCGCAAGCAAGCCGTCGAGGGGACACTTTCAATCTGCTAACGCTCTAGTGCAAAAAACAAATACGATGTGAAGGTAGATGTACACCAACCGAAAACTCTTTATTGATCACTGTACACGTTTTGGAAGGGGCTGATTCTCAGCTTATTACCCAATGGTCGCTATCAAAACGTGTACAGAAATCAACATGTCAAAAGAATCTCCAATTTGGCAGCCTTGCCACAGCGGTTCAGAACAGAATATCAATTTCAGTACACATTTTTAAAAGGGTGATTAGTCAATGAAGGATATCGAAACGTGTACATTGACCAACAGGCTTTGAAGGCCCTCCGACCTGGCCAGCAATCTCGGTGGTCACGACCAACTGTGATCATACACTGGCAGCATTTCGTTCTCACCGTGATGGTGATGGGCGCAGAACCGCATGACGTGTTGCTGCACTCGTCGGATTTAACAGACGCGGCCCGGACCTTCTTTGTTGCAGGGGGAACGTTGCTTGATCCGTCCTCCTGTTGGATGAAGCGGGAATGGCTCAAAAGAATATTGTCGGTCCAGGAGTAAATACATAACCTGTATTTGCTTACCCATGTGGCAACAAACAACGTTGCGCCATGCCTGGTCGTCCTTCTTTCGATCTAAACGAAGAAAAAGAACAGTGGTAGGGCTGCCTAGCCTCAACACGTTCTTTAGATTTTTAGTGGTAGACCTGGTCTACCCGGCCTACACCTGGTCAAATGATTGGACCAATAGTCTTTTCCGTTTCAAACCTTTTCAACTGAAGCACTTTGCCTACAATCGGCTCGAAATGAACCGGCTCAGAAATTGTTGCATTCAAGCAATTGTTGGGGCGCGCCATCTGGAGCTAGTTGCACGGCGACGGAAGGAACACGTGTCTGTCCTGTCGCTCCTGTCTGCCATGAGCACAAGAGAAATATGTCTCACCTCTTCTCTATTGCCGCCAGAAACCTCCCCGTTTGCTCCCCTGTTGCATGACCCCGCTTCTGGTGATGTAGGTCGTCCAGGCTGGACCTCTCCCTCCACACCCTCGTCTTGCACCTGATAGGAAACAAAAGTTCGATGGGCAGTGTTCACACTACATTCACAAGCTGGGGGTTCTGATGAGCAGGGTTGAAATTGATCGCAACAACAACCGGGTGTTTCGTCAAGCAGCATGTTCTCCTGTCTGTCATGTCCTCCTGTCTTCTCGGCCAGGAGAGGAGCAATGCTGTGTTGGAAAAAAGACGGCCGCAAATCGAGGCAGGGCGATTCGACAGTCAAGTTATGTTTCTCCCAAGGACCTCTGCTGCACAATGTATCCGAGCTCTCAAAAAGAAGCGAAAGTCGTATCTGTGCCAGATTCTGCTCACCGGGTCGGACTTCCTTCCGGGATACACTGTGATCGTACACTTGTCCTCGAACTCGTCCTCCAAGTCCCAACCCAGGTCACCATCATCGTCAGGCGGCAGTGGAGGCCCGAACATCTCCCACTCCCACTGCTCGTTGGCATGCTGCAGCGGGGGGTCGCGCATCGAGACATCGGCGCCACCCGAGTTCGCGGCACCGCCCCCTGTATTCTGGTCCGTCCGAGGTTCCTCCGACCTCTGGACACAGCGCTCACCGCTCGCAGCGTCTCCCATGCTGGGAGGGGATTCCGCTGCAGCCGGAAGAGGTGTGGGGCTCTCCATTAAAGCATCGCTGGGGGGCGCCACTTCAAGCGGTTGCACGGATTGAGAGGCGCCTCTCTCCGACCTCGCTGCCTCCTCTGCCCTACGCTTACGGAGGAAGGCGTCGAATTGACTCGGGTCGTGGAGGCCGTGTAACCCCCCTTCCTGCAAGCCGCGTGGCCTCATGGATCGATCATATTTAGGGGAGGGCTTTAATCGACCCGCGCAGCACCTAGCTTAATTGACAGGACAGACAGGACAGACACGTATCCATGTGGTGAGCAGTAGGATTTTGCTGTAATTCTTCAAGTTCGTTGATCGCTTACCGCTGCAGCATGTGGTTGAGCAGCGCCCATGCAAAAATCGTTTCCCCTAAATCTTATTGCATCAACTTCCTTGTTTGACATGAGAGACATTGCAGACATGTGCATCTCTCGAGCAGCAGGCACATGTGTGTGTGACTGAGTACTGGATAATGCTGGCAAGCCTTCAATGCTTTCTTGCGCAGCTTTACAAAGTTCTTCGAACTGACTCCGCCAATATTGTCTGCTCGCTGCAGCAACCAGCGACGTGCGACACCCTTCCAAGCCCCATGCCGGTCGATGAGCCAGCGGCAGTGGGAACGAAACAGAGCTGCCCTACTTTCCCTGGCCAGCCCCTGGAGGTCAACGAACGGCCTCGAGCAACCAGTTTTGGTGCATCTCAGGTGCGGTAATTTTTTTATGGACAGGAGCTCTACGACTCCTGCTTGCTGATCGGTGGGTTCTTGAGCAATTTTGGAATATGTGCACTACTCCTCAAGACTCCTTTGCCTCTTTCTAGGCTTACCCCGCGCCTTACGAGCGTCCCTCCCAAGCAACTGCGGCCGGCCTGGCTTGTAAAACGCCTTTGATGTCTCCATTTGCCTCACCTGTCTCCCGTCCTTGTTGAATCTTATGAAGCTGAGCGCGCCGTCAAAGAGAGTCGTACACGGGTCACTCAGGGTCTTCAAAGCCTCCGTTTCTGTGGAACTCCGCATAGAGAGCTTGCCAGTCAGGCCAAAAGGTTTGATTGAACTGTAGGCGGTCTATGTGATGCTTCAACTCCCGACCACTTCCCATGACAACACCTGAAACAAAGCGACACCTCTTGAGATAGGTGTCCTCGTCCAGCTGGCTCCCGCGATCCATACCAAAGAGATGCCTGCAGAGAGGTGGTGGCATGAAGGGACATGCCAAGTCTGGGTTGCCTTCTTCCATAGAGCTTGGTTGTTGAGGGTGATTATTGGTTATAAGCTTGTGACCGGCTGTAAAGACATTTTGGTGCGGCGCTGCCCTCTTGATGTGCTTCGCTGCTCCTCGGGCTCAGGAACGGCGTCACTAGAAGCTACAGCGTGCGGCCGCTTCTTGTTGGGTGCCCGAACTTCATCTTCCTCGGGCAAGGCTATGCTGGAGTAGACTGGGCTTGTTGGCCTATATTCCTCCCTCAGCTGCTCACCGACAAATCAGACGTGATGAGTGGGTGCCCAAGAGAGCAGGAACATTTGGAGTGAGCACAAGAATGAAAGTGCACACGCTGCCGTCGATAGATAAAGTGCAAGCCCACAAACTCGTTTCGAAGAGCCAGATTTTGAAGTTGAGGAAGAGCGTTGCATGTCTACACCCAGAAGGCAAGCCATGCAATTCGATCACTGAAGCTTAAAGCTTTCTTCACTAGGGTTTTGTTTGTCCTCACCATCATTTCGTCGCTGGATGGTAAACCAGCTACAGCATCAAGCAATCCTGCAGCATTGCCCCCTTCCTCTAATTCCTGCAAAAGTCGCATCATGGGAGCCCTAAGTTGACAGCGCCAACGATGCTCGAGACTTGCGCAACATGCATGTAAGCGCTGCATCGACTGAAGCATTCATCCTGAAGCCTGAACCCCCTTCTTGCAAAGAGTGAGAGTTGAGTAAAAGCAGCAATGAGGGAGTGCGCTTCATGAGAGCAACTCACACAACTAAAATTTCATCCTAGTTTGCAACTAAAATTTCATCCTAGCTTGGGACTCACAAGGCCAAGGGTGTCCGACTCAGACAGATCCTTCTCGAGCATCTCTTCATCAGTAGGAAGCAGCTCTTCTGCAAAGTCTGGTCTTCCAGTGCCCCCCTTTTTCCACACTGACTGCTCATGCTCTGCAGCGGCACCGTCTCTGTTCAAATCCTGCATGCTGCCCTCCCTCCTGACCTGCAAACAGCAAGTGCGCTGATTAGCTTTAATGATCTAGGCATGCATGCATCACTTTCTCAAGTTCATTGATCCAACTTCCTCATAAGAGATGAAAAGCCCAGTGACATGAACCATCGCAGCCATCAGGCTTGCTTCATTGTCAACTCTCTTCTTTACATCCTATCTGGAATGAGACAGAGCTAAACTTGGTGAGTTGATTGCTTCAGAGACTATTGACAACAGAATCCAGTCGAACTTGACACTAGAGTCGGCAGGTTGCTCATGAGTCCAGCTCAAGCAGGGGCTACTCACTGATGAGAGCGTGCGGCAAGTCATCCTGCCGTCACACTGGAACGAGTCCCGGGAGTCCCCGTCGCAATCGAACGAGTCCCCGTCACACTGGAACGAGTCCCTGAGGAGCGAAATGCGGGGCCTGAGTTTTACTTGTTGCATGCACGGGAAGTTTGCACATACCGTCAGTTAACCAAGCAAGCTCACCAAAGACGCACCAGCTTTGGCTGACCGCAGACTCTTGCTCAATAATGCAGCACGAACATGTGCGTCGGTGATCGGCATAGGTATCTGGAGGCTTTCATGTTGGAACTGCAGCCGCTGCAATGAGCATCAATAGAAGTACAGAAAGCCGAACAGTTGCAGGGTGGTTGCAGAGGTCAACCTCCACTTTTTTGTGATAAAGCCAGACTCTGCACAAGCAGAAGCTTACGCAAGATGCCGTGAGTAGACCTTGAAGCGCTGTATGGCAAGAGAAACTGAAAGAGGCGCATCTGCAAGATTTTCCAGGAAGGAAATTGCAGGGGAAGAGCGGCCACTTGAAACCTTCTTGTCATTACAGAAGCGAGGGACTCAGGGGGCCATACCTCGGTAGTCAGCAGGACTTGCTGCGGAGCAACCGGGAGTACCCTTCTGCGTTGATTGCTTCATCAGGTCCTCTTGCGCGACTCTCCGATCACTCCAGCTCCGATGATGTCAAGAGGATGTGGAGAGGTCGAATGCTGCAAGTTCAGACTGAGTCTTTGAGTTGACATTGATTAGCTCCCAATCGTGTGTGCACGATCTGAGCATCTAGTCATGAGCGCCAGTACACAGCTGCTGCCCCTGGGAATCATGGCTTCTGTCTCCGATACTCACACAAAACAAGAATGACCATCAAAATTTTGTCAGCTGGGGATGTCTAAGAATGATCAAGATGCACAGAGGCTCTGGACTAAAGTTTCTTGTCTGGTGAATTCCCGAACCGTTTGCAAGGTGAAAAAAAAGAAGCATCAAGTCAGGCTTATCCTGCAAGCGGCTCATCGATACATGCATGAGCGAGCAACGCCGCTGCTCAAGAAAACTCACCACGCACCACTGCAACAGGGCTGGGAATCACCAGCACTTCTTTGCGCGTGTGCTGTGTCAAATCAGACATATCAAAACGAGCACATGCGCACCCAAAACAAAACAGTGGGGGAGGGTTTATGGACTCACCTACCACCTGCCACTTGCAAGAGTGCGGCGCTCTTCTTGCATGCTTCACACCTTGAAGATGTTCTGCAGCTGCCCTAAGCTCCTCTCTTCTCCTAAGCAGAAGAGTCTTGAAAGTTCCTGGAAGCTGAATAGGATCCTTGCCACTTGGCAAACATGCAGGTGGCTTGGGGCGCCATTCAATGCGCGCCGCTTTGCGCCACCGCTTGCCATCGCCAGCTCACCCCTGGCACCCGCCGCAGCTTGCCCGCCCATGCCGCCGCCTGCCACTGCCAGCTCACCAAACCAGCCACAGTCTGCTGCAGCTCGCCTGGCCATGTGCCACAGATTGCCGCCGCTCGTAACTCCCCGCCAATGCGACCTTGCACAAACATCCCAAAAGGCAGCTGCAAATTGCTGCGCTGCCCCACGCGCTGCGCCATTCCCTGCACCCGCCAGCAGCTAGCGGGCCCGATGCCCCACACTCGCAGCAGAATGCCGCGCTGCGCCATTGCACTCGGTCCTGAGTTTGAGCTGCCTTATATAACAGCAGCTTCTAGCCGATCTGCTCTAACCTGCTAGATATCACTAATGGCAACATACCTGCTTTGGGAGCTATCTAGAGCTGAAGTTGGGGCTCCATGGCAAGCCTGAGCTTCCCGTGAGCTTCGAGTCTCGACCATCTGGGTCAATATATACGAAGTTTCGGCCTGGTTTGTTACGTATCATCTCAGCAAATATATCAGTTGAGTTGTAATTTACTGAGCCCACAGACAGGTAGACAGGACAGACAGAAGAATTGTGCCGGTCTCCCGAGTCCCGACCTATCCCGACCATCCTTGGAAATATGAGAATATTTTGTGATTTGAAACCTTATTACTAAACGATGTAGGCCGGTAATGATCCGCTTTTAGTCCTCGAATCGCATCGCGCCACGTACCCCAGCATGACCATTACCGGGGGTACCAAGTCGACCGAACAACTTATCTCAGGAGATTCCGCAACTAGTTACTATCAAGTGAAAACTCGAATTGATAGTTTACTGCAAACCCAAACCCAGACCAAACCCTAGACCCATTGGAATACCATGCAGTCCAGACTCCAGACTTGAACTTACAAACCCTTGAACTTCTATGCAAACCACGTAGCCTACTTCGACCAATGTAAGGTTTCCATTTTCATTTACGGGTATCCGGACAGGTTAAGACAGGACAGACAGGAGTTTGGTCCAAGTCTCCCGGCTTATCCCTGACCATACCTGTCAATATGTTTGGCTATTGTAGAGGCTGGAGCCTTACAAAGGAGAGTCGAATTTCAGAACTACTGGTCTACAATGCTTCTTGCTCGCGAGCCAGAAGTTGTGCCATTGTCACTTGGTACGCTTGTATTTCGAGGCAGGTTTTGACTGGTTGGCACTGTCACTTACAACATTTTCAGGATAATGGGTGGGATGGCCGTCCCTGCTTGCGAATCAAACAAATGTGCCATCAGGATTTCAAGTGCTTATAAAAGGCGATTTCTATGTTGCAAGCAATGATTGCATGTTTGACAAGAATGTTAATTGTGTACTGCCATGTTGATTTACATACGATCATATTCATGGATGACAATGCAGCAGTTCAACAAAACCAGCTCAATGCAACTTCGTGAGCACTACATATACGCAGTACATGTATTCAAAGGCTCAGCGAGTCGTAGCTTTCCTTCACTAATTCAATGATTGCGTTCAAATCTATGTACTACGCGCCTACAGATGGCCGCCAATTGGTTTTTTACTGTCCGACCGAGCAGAAGTTCCTGCCGACTTACGGTCGAATACTCACTAACTAAGCGCCAGCGCCATGTGAAACTAAATTGAACGATAAAGAAACACAATGTCCTCAGATGCTTCACTGCCTTCAAAAGCTCACGGCCCATGTTGGGCGTATTCAAAGTGGGCGTTGGCGGTTGCATACGTTCTAATGTCACAATAGTGACTATTCCTGCGTACAATCGGCCTTTCGACGTCATGAAACCTGAAGAAGCGACCATCGATTCCATTTCAGAGTCAAGCGTTATCTACAGTTGGTCGCTGCAGCGTGCACGCCACCACGACACCCTCTTTGAGAATGGACCATCGATAACAAAGACAGGTCTGGCGCCCCAGATGGTCACTTATTGTTATAAACCCCGAGCCCCACTGAGCCATCGGGCAACGCTTCGGTGAGACCGGGGTACAATGAGTATTGGATGCAATGTTCAAAGTATGTACTGCAGTTCCCGCCTGAATCTGAATGGCCGGCCTGCGGGCTTATGTATGCACACCCCAGATCATTAAAACCGAATTTTCAGTGGGACAGAATCCGAGGCGAGGGCAGGCAGCTGCACTTTACTTCACTGTCAACGAGTAAAACGAGTAAGAGAACACGATGACAAAACACAGCTGACAACCTTCATACAAACGACGGGTTTCTCATCCCTGCTCAATTCTGGCCCAAGGAAGAACAGTCAGTTTTGCAACTTGCTGCCCATGATCAAGGTCAGTCTCGAAGCACGTCAGACTTCTTGAAAGCCGATCATGAGCTACTTGTGATATCAAGAAGAACTACCAGCTGAAATCTTGACCCAAGCGATGTGTTCACTACAAGTCGTCTGTCAAAGCGACTCGGCCAAATGCACCACAGTCCTCTAATTTGGTCACGAGTTCAGCTACGGCAAGTTCGGCAATCTTCTTTTTTGAGACGTCGGGGACGACACACTCTACCCTGAGCACATGTAATTTTCTGCCGTCGAGGTTGGGGAACGGTCCGCCGATGTTGTAAGTCTCAAAGAGGTCGACTGCATTCGCAAAATGCAACAGACAGAAGGGTTAGGCAGATCATGAGATGGCTGTCCCGGCAACGTGAAGCCTTCCACGTGAATAATGCGCTTTCAGGCATCTTCAATTCACCAAGTACGACTTTGCAGAAACTCTGCATGCAACTTGCTCAGAGGAACAGACCCTTACCGATTGGTCCGATTTGGCAGCGAGCCGTGTTCTGCTGCCGCGCAAGCTCGTACATCTCCGCTTCGCCTACAAAAAAAAACCAAGTTGGCCATTTCATAACCGAATACTCAAATCTTCCCCGGAACCGATTGCTATAAATTGCCCTGCATACATTACTGAATGATCTCCATCAAAGAAACGAACACAGCAAGCCCGGCTGCCCAGGAAGTGGATAAAGTATTTGCATGGTGAAGGTCTGTCACCGGAAACAGGAAAAAGAAAGAGAGCTCATCTGCAGGTTCGTAGAATCACGGCGAAACCAGTTTTCGAGCAGGTAACTGGAAGTTCATACCTGTAAAGGCGTCTCACGGTTGCAGAAATCAGTCGGTGAAGAAGAATCATGCCTCTGAAAGCAGACTGACTCTGCAGACTGACTTACATTGCCTATTGATTGGGTGCTCGACGAGGTCGATAAGGAACGGCCGGCGGGGCAGCTGCTTCAGTGCCAGTGTCTGCAGCTCCTCAATGGTGAAGTCGCCTCTGAGCACTTGCGCCACCAGGTTGATCGCCTGTTTGAAAATGACCCGTGCCCTCACGAGCTGCTGGCTCGACGCGGGGTCCGTCTCTGCAGCTTGGACACACGTCCCGTCCAGTCCCAGGTCCCAGGTTGGAGGCACTGGCTCTAGGGGCACGAAGGTCTCTTTGGCTTCGAGGAATTGGTCGCCTGAAAATTGACAAACGGGAAATTTCAGAAAAGAGACAGGGGAGGGGGTGTAGGGAAGGGGGTATCTGAGGGGGGGAGCCCAAGGAGGACCGGGGCAAAAGGGGAAAGGAAGCGGAACGCAACAGCAAAGGGGGTTGTCGAAACAGAAGCAGCGCCTACGAAAAGGGGCAAGAAAGAGAAGGTCGACGAAACGGCAGAGAGCATTGCAGGCGAGACGCCGGCAGAAACGGGTCGGAAGAGATGGGGGGCAGGAGAGGAGCCGGTTTAGAAAGACTCGGAAGCGAAGAGACGACAGACGAGAAGGGGACTGCAGAAGAGAAGGGGACTGCAGAAGAGAAGGAGACCAGAGGAAAAAATCATAAAACCTTGACCAAGCGGAGATGTCCGCCAGCTTAGTGAACACTCCTTGATTGCAAACCTCGAACTGAAGAGCAGCAAGAAGCAAGCAGGCCCACATAGCGCCTTCAATTCGGTTGCTCACAGCCTCCATTTGAAGACGTACAAGTCGCCATGACGGATCCAACACTGTCATTATCGTGTGGTGCCTACGCTGGCCAACATCCTGCATCACACGCTTTTCGACATCGTCATCTAACCGAAAAAGTAGTCCGAGCTCACCAGCAGCAAGCACGGCTCGCTTTGCCGCATCAAACGCCTTCCGCCTATCGATACCCTCCCAAGCATTCCATGGGGGCTCCGTGGCCTCCACAGACTTCGCCAGCACCTCGACATTCTCTTCCGCAATCCCGCGTGCTCTCAACGCATCCTTCAGCTGCTGCATGGCCTCGCATCTCTCGGCCTCCCGTTTCTTCTTCGAGTAAAGCGCCGCTTCCATGCCGTAGATTCCCAGCTGCATATCCTTCACGGACTCAGCTGTCCAATCAGGCTTCAGCTGCAAACGAGAGAGAGCATCCAGACAATCGTAAATATAAGTATCATGACAACAGAGGACCTCCATGAGATGTCCGAAGTAAGAAACATGTCCCTCCTTAGATTCCATATGCTGGGAACGTCAACATTCTTTTTGGAGCCAGTCACTCCCACAATACAATCATTGAGACACGTTGCAATTGAGGAGGCCGTACCAAAACAATCTGCAGATAACTAGGTGAAGCGAGAAGCACAAGCAGTCACCACAGACAGCAAGGGCACTGGTAATCAAAGAAAACCTCACAGCAAGCGGGGCCAGTCCAGACCAATCAGTTCGCGATCAGGACTGGCGACCAGAAATCATAAGCCGTCATGTTGCGCACAACGCAACCATCCAAGGCTCACAAACGACTGAAAAGCGTAAGTGGTCGAGAAAGTCCACACAAGGTAACCCGTTCCTTCATAGCAAGATGCAAGAGACGCCGGCTAAGGGTGATTTGCGGACCTTCTCGAAACGACTCCACCCGTCCCAGTTCTTGGTCAGCATTTCGAGTAGTCCGAACAGCTCCTCCCAGGTCTTGGCAAAGACTCCGGTTGGCAGGTACAGGAAACTCAGTTGCAGGGGCCCCTTGGATGAGAACGCCTTGCGCATCGCCTTGCACAGGTCGTCGACCTGCTCTGTTTGTGCGTCCATTGCTGCAATCTGCACAAACTCCTGCGGTCCAAACGGGACAATCTGAACGCTTGCGTAGCTCAGATCGTGGAAAAAAACTTTTTGCACGATAAACGAGAGAACACGGAAGGACTGCAGTATCCGGGCTGCACGGCTGTCATTGGAAATCCCAATTCCCTGTCTCATCCGACTCTCACACAAGCCTTTTGAGCCACTAAACACAGCAGGAGCAAGCAGTTCCGAACATGAGCGAGGTTGAAAAGGAGTACTAGGTGCGACAGAGGCTGAGTTGGCTGAAGCAGAAAAGCGGGACGATCCTGTTGGAGGCAACATCCTTCATGTGAGGCAACGTATATTTGTTTGAAAGGGCGAACAGACTGCAGAATTGGGAAACACTTTTTCCGAGTAGTCACTTACTTTGCAGGTCACCGGCATGTACTCCTCCAGCCCCCGCCACACCTCCTCCTTCTGCACCAGAGCTCGTGCCGCCTGAGGACCAGATGGCAAAAAGTCAGCATGAAATCATGGACTTGATGCTGCTGTCTCACGTACTGTCCAGGATGATCAAAAAACCGATTGAAACGGTAGCACAGGTTAACAGCACTTGGAACTTCAAACACTTGCCGCACCTCTGACATTAGCGTTGCCTCGCCCCTAATCCTTGAGCTCTTGTAGATGATCTCTGCCTCCTCTATTGCAGCCTGCAGCCAGACGTTCCTCTTCTCTTGCCTGTCGACCGAAAACGCCTGCGCTCGTACATCAGCGGGAGCGCCGAGAAGCTGCGGCAAATTCGCAAGCTGCAGAAGTAACATGGGAAAGTGTTCAGATGAACTACTGACCAGGCCCTCTGTAAGAAGAAACGAGCCAGCTCTGTTTCCAGATCATATCACCCGGTCCCTGTATCCCCTTCCATGATCCCTGTTCACGAAATTGCTCTTAAGAATCATTGCTCTTCATCATTCATCTCGAAAACATGTTGGCACATTGCAATGAACTCTGTTAAACAACTGCTTTTGGACAGGAGAGGTGGCTTCAAACCACAATGCAGCTGCTCCAAGGAAACAGGCTTACGATGTACATAATCCAGCTCGTCTTCTGCTCGCGTCCCACCGGCTCGTTCCACCTGTTGTCATCTGGATCGTCCTCCTCAGGGAGCACATCTCCGAAGAATAGGATTACGACCCCGAGACCGTCCACATCCAGAGCCAAGTTGTACTCCCCCTGCAACACAAGGCATGCAAGCTTCATCAAGGACAGGCCTAGTACGGGCCTGACCAGAAACACAGGGAGAGGCTTACTAAGTGGTTCGCAAGCAAAGATGAGAGTCTTCAAACTGCACCCAGTTAATAGAGAAGCCACATCGGTTGCTCAGATTGAAGGAAGTATGAGAAGACCTACCGAAATGCCTTGCGCTGGTGCCACATGCACAAAGGAAATTCCGCCAGTCGTAGCAAGTGGCCCCAGGAAGCCCTACAATTGGTGGAATCAAAGGAATACTCAGCTTGGTCTCACAAGTGGTTCAAAAAGGTGCTTCATGCTTGCCTCATGCCAAGATAAGAGAACGAAAGAGTGGTGCAATATGGTCAGATTCAACCAAGACAATCTGGCAGAGCTGGGGCTACCAAACTCACCAGACCTGCCCCCGAGAAGCGACGGAGACCGTTGGCAGTATGTGCTGCCACTGTACCATTCGAACCAAGGACACGACCGACTGAAAATACATGCGTGTCTCCATCAGCTGCGGTGAAAATGGTATTGATCTTGCCAACAAGGTCTGCAATTCCTGTCAGGGTCTGCTGCCGACTGCAGAAGGTACAGAGAAAAATGAGGTCAATATGGACTGCTTCTCCATCACCTTCAAGTTTCACGTTATTCTGCTGAAGACCAACGAGCAAATGGTATATCCTTGAAGAACCAAAAGCACTGAATTCTAATTCTACACATAACATGACGGGATCCCAAGCAACTTGATAAGTACACGAACTCACAAGCAATCTAGGGTGCCTTGTTTTCCACAGGTCACTTACGTGCATGCGCTTTTTAGAATGGCCTCGGGGTAGGCCTCCAACATCTCCTCTTTCGTGGTACTCTTTATTGTTCTTGTGCCTTCAGCAAAAGTAGACCGTTTCACTCCCTTTGCCAGAACAAGCATGTAAGAATCCATGTGCCAGTACACCTGCAAACATGTATGACCACAAATGACGCAGCAGTGCAGTTAATTTTACGATCTTTTCCAATTCCCCATACAGAATCAACTGCCTTCACTCACTCGGATATCCAGCTCCTCCCAGCACAATCTTCTGCCGCAACTCTGTGTCGCTAAGACTGTTCAGGTACACTTTCGCAGACGAAGGAACCATTTTCCGGATCTCTTTGGCAGCTCCAGTAAACTTCCCGGGCAGAACCGCTAGATCTGGATTACCGGCCACACTGAGTGCGCCTCCATATAACCGTTCAGTTAATGGATCCAGCATTAGGGGAACTGACTGGGATAGGAAAGGGGTCCTTCTTCTGGCTAAGTCATCAGGCTGCTGCCGCAACCGAGCATGACCCTGCCGCATGAGGTTGCTATATGTCAGGGAAACTCTGCAAGCGTAAAAGAAGCATGACAATCAGGTCACTTGCCGTGGAACAAGAGGCGATGATTAAAAAGAAGGTGCTGCAAGAATGACAGCAGCCGGCGACCAAACAATCCGAAGAAAGAAAAGGAAGAGCAAACTGTCTTCAACGATTTGCAAGATTCTGATTTTCTGCCGAGTGGCAAGGCAGAGACTTACATTCTTGTGTCACTTGGGTCATACTTCATCTCCCTCATATCAATTTCTGAGCAGGTTCTTCTCTGAGCCCCAACGATCATCTGGTATGTGGTAAGGTTGTCGTCCACAGACACATGGCCAGCAGAAGTGGCGCTATTCGCCATTCTAGAACCAGAACCACTGATTATCTCCTGAGCTTCACTCGACGGTTCTGAGGCCTCTATGCGCATGGAGCCTTGTGCCTGTACAGCAGGGTCGATAAACGTGATTACTCTACAGACATAAGCAATCGAAAATACAGCACTGGAAGCAACCTTTCAAGAGAAAGCCATGCATCCGTCAGCAAGCCTGCAATCGTAGACAGTTGCTTTGCCCCCTGCTGGATCCTGCTTCTTCTGGTTCTTCAACTTTGGTGCCGAGTGCTGGCATGGTCACTGCCAGTACTAAACTGCCATGCAGAAAAAAAGTGCAATTCCTACACTGCGATTCATGACTCCCACAGAAAGGCAGATAGACGGTGCAACAGACCAAACCTATAGTTTTAGGGTTTTATTGGTTACAGATGCAGCTTTCAGATGGAGTACACGAGTTGCCTCTCACCAAAACATCTGCCTTCCCAATGTTGCTGCGGAGCGTCGCCCGAGGACTGCCAGCATCATGTCCAAAGTTGGGCTCAAATTGCACATCCACGTGCACCCCCCCGATATAACTAACTGGGAAAACTCCTGCATTTCCTCTTCCGTTAAGCTCATCACAGGTGGCCTTTTCAACATGTCTCCTTATTCCAGATACAGAAATTTCAGGTCTCCTCAACATCGTGCTGGCTGGGGCCTTCGAATTAGATTCCACCGGCGAAAACAGACGTGCTTGGGCGACTTGAGAAGCAACTCTCCAAACATTTGGTGTTGATCACAAATCAGCTTCTTCAACTTGAACAAACCTGTATGAACTTCCCCTGAAGCAAAGAGAATGGCCACCTTAAGGTAATACTAGGGTTACGGCCAGTTATGCCCTGTTCACATGAGGTAGCTGCTATTCGTGCAACGGCTGCTACTGAGCAAAAAAGCTACGGGGGGGTCGGGCCTCCTAAAAATCCGGAATGTGCTACCGAGCATCGGACGATTGCAACGCGGTTCATATGATATAAGATACCGTATTTTACGGTGCGACCAGACAGGAAGACATGACAGACAGGGGTTTGGTTCAAGTCTACCGGCATATAGGTAGCCTGACCATCCCAGTCAATCTGTAGATCGTTTTATAATTTTCAAAGCGAACAGACAGGAAGACAGGACAGACGGGAGTTCGGTCCAAGTCTCCCGGCCTATACCTCGACCATACCTCGGCCTGGTATTATGCTAAAATACTATGATTTCCGGTGCCTGCAGACAGCTAGACAGCTAACAGACAGGAGGTTGCGAGGCCCGACAGCTGCGTCGAAATTTTACTGCGCTCATGCCGGACAATATATGCATGCCCCACTGAGCCGACGAGTCACGAAAGCAACACTACTTACATACATATTGGCAAGATCCAGGAGGTTTCGACAATCTTATACTGTTATCTGTTATATTTTTCTTCTGTCCAGAGGAAAATAATTATATCGGATAAGCAGTACGACTTTCCTCCCTTTGGCATTCAGTGCAAATATGTATGTAGTAAGGCCATACCCAAAAGGAATAGTAAATATTATAATCGACTTTTCAGTAGAAAATTGTAACAGATTAGCAGTACAAAACTTTCCCCTTTGGGGCGTGTTGCGAATATGTATGTAGTAAGGCCATACCATAGATTATTTCATCTAACATTACATGCGACTTTTCAGAAGAGAAACATAACAGATTAGCAGTACAAAAATTTTCCCTTTGGGGCGTGTTGCGAATATGTATGTAGTAAGGCCATACCATACATTAATCCATGTACATTATATGCGACTTTTCAGAAGAAAATTATAACAGATAACAGTACAGTTTGTTTTCTTTTGGGACTTTTAGTAAATATGTATTACATGTATGTTACCCACTTAGGAACAAAAGGCAAAATATTCGCTTTTGTTCCTAAGTGAGTGCTCGGGTGGTCCCAAGTCAACCGTACCGTGAATCCGGAGAGCTTTCGACCGTACCGGGATGGCCCCCTTCGCCAGCCACCTGCAACCTTTCTGGGCCGGGGGGCTGACGTGGCGCCCTCTCAGTGGCCAAAATTTAATGCCGAAGTTCATTTGCCTTGCTGAATTGGAAGACTTCGGATAACCAGGAAATGGCAGTAGTGGTCGGTTTACTTGCATTGTCGAGAAGGAAGGCAAGAAGTCGCAAGAGATGGGCTATCATACCGTTGTGAAGGGGTATCGAATAAGAGTGTCCAATTTTTCAAGCGACATATTACAGTGGGTTTGGCTATTTGGCTTTGGGTTTGGCCAAGGGTTAAAACTTGTTGGAAGGGGATGGCTCTTCCAAGTCTTTCTGTCTCGAGCCTAGTGAGCTGAGGCTTGAAGTTGAGCAATCAGTACGTTGGAAAACCATCTTGTATGGTGGCAGTGGAGCCCGGTTGCCCCTAGGACCTGAGGGAGCAACTAGGTATGGACGCCGCTGCCGCCCGTACGGTGTGCGATCGTCTCAGCGTGGCACCTGACGTCGAGGAGAAGCTGCCCTGGAAGTTGAGAAGCGGGGAGGAAGGCGCGACGCAAGACGAGAAGCGGGCGCACTTGCAGGGCCTGCTCGAGCGGGACGCTGCGCTTTTTCTTGAGAAGTATGGAGAAAGCCTGAGCGGCGATGAGCTGTTGCAGTTTGAGGGTCTGAAAGGTGACTGTGGCACCAGCTTCAGCATTGAAAGACTCCGTGTGGCTGGCACAACTTGATGATCAATAGCAGCTCTTAAAATGGCGGCATTCTTATTTAGTTTTATTTGGAATTCTAAGATGGATTGTGGTCTCATCTGAAAGATGGTGGTGCTGGAATCGATGTGGAGTTGTCTTGTGTAACATGAAGGGGTGATGTAAAATTTGTTTGTCGCTGTTGCAGCTTGGAGTAATGTTTGACTTTTCTGCTGGCTGCGCGTCGATTGAAGGTGGCAAAAGGTGCTACGTCAGCAGCATGCTGACAATTTTGCTGTCTTGGGCGGAGTCTATTTGGCTCAGTGTTTCCACCTGCACACTGCCACCAATTCTCCATAGGAGTCACAGGACCCCACATGATCATTCGAGCAGGAGACTTTGCAATGTTTGTTCTTGTTCCAGCAAGGTTTTTGCTCACCACCCTTCGGGCTTTGTTTGGCAGGACATAGTGGTCACACGTCAGCCCTGGTTGTCTTGAGCTGATGCCTGCCTGCATATCAGATGAAGACAAGCTGAGTCTATGTCGAACTTTTCAACCGAACTTTTTCTGCCTTGCACCGAGGTCACTAATCTCTCCTATTGTGAAAGTATGCGGCTGCTCCATTTGTAGACGTTATCTCGAAAAAAAAATCGAACTGCTCCCGGAAGTCTCTCAAGACTGGCGCAGAACCTCCTTCAGAGTAATTTCAAACTCCTGCCTAGAGTTGTTCCTCAAACCTCATATCTTCCTGTGCCTGCAGGTGATTACGAAGTCAATTGGCACCTCAACCGGCTGAATGACAGTCTGAGCCCCAGCCCCCAGCGGGAGAAGGCGCGCGCAGCGCAGGTGAAGAATCGCAGGCTAGGTAAGCGGCCCATCGTATCCTTTGTGTGCGAGAATTCTCGACCTGGGCAGAGAAGCGCTGATATTGATGTACGAAGTCACTGCTCAGACGAGGCCAACTTGGTTGGCTCTTCACCTGATCAGCAGACCGATTGGCGTAAGAGACAACGGTGCTTGGGCTGAAACGAGCTCGACTCCCATGGTTCCGAAGTTTGAGGTTTTCTGATATGGGCTCTTCAAAAAGTTGTGTCCTTAGACAGTTCACCAGATCGTTGCAGTCTACTTGACGAGGTTGCATCAGCGCGATCCATACTGTTCAGTGCGATTCATTCCGTTTGCTGGCGCTATGTGGCTCCTCAGCAGTGTCAATCTTAATATATCGTAGCCTCGTGACGATTAGATTCGGCCTATCTTCCTTCTCCTTGACGGTCTCCCAACTTTTGATGTGCAGCCTACATGCAGCGCCTGGAAGATGAGGGCACCTACTTCTCCGAGGACGCCATGCGCGAGCGCGCCCCCCTTCTCCACGAGCAGTTCATGGGTCCCCAAACTGACGCCAGTGAAACTAGGAGTGGGAGGCAGCCCGTCGTTCCGCGCCCAGGCGAGGGCCTCTCGGAGCTCATCATTCGGCAGGCCAAAGAGGACCACATCGCGGCGCGGCTCAAGCAGGAGCGGCAGGACTTTGAGAAGCAGGCCGCCACGTTGCAACAAGATCTAGACGTGAGGCGCTTCAGAGTTGTCAATGTGCTTCCTGTCTGTTTCGATGTTTTTGCATGAAAGGCAAAGGCTCTAAAACAAAAAAGAATGCATGATTACCTCAGATATTGAACAGGCTCAGGACGTCCTCTTTGGGGGGCACGAGCTGTAGGTCTTTCAAAAGGAGCTCGTAGTAACAGGTGAGACGTTCGGGTCGTCTGTTTTTGCGGGTCCTCCTGTCCGAGTATCCATTTGTTGGTTGAGACATCTTCGTGTTGATCAGATTCGCCCTTGCCCTTCTCAGGGCATGCATTTCTCCTTGTCAAGTGGAGGTAACCAATAATCGGAAGAGTTGTTCAGATTAATGCCAGTAAGCTGCATCAGACATACTGCGTGTCTCTCAACTTGTATTGGTCACATTTGTACTAGGCGATGGGAAAGATTGACAAACATCCAGGCTCCCCCCAGCAACGTCTGGTTTTCGAAGATTCATCAATGGTTTTGGCTTGGGCTGCTTCGGCTGCTGACGTGTCCCTTTCATTACAGGACGCAGCCGCAGCGTCAGGCCTACACAATGGAAACCAGGCAGAAAGAGAGGAAGAAGCAAACGTGGCAGACTCACCCGGAGATAAGCAAGTGGAACCTGTTGCGATGCCCAGTTTGGAAAGCCCTCCAAGTCGAGGCCCGAGCACCGGCGCAAAAGCTCGCGGCGGTGTGCATCAAAAGACGGGCCAGCTACGGTTTGGCACCATTTCCGGGGCTTCGGTTGCAGGTGCGGCGGTGACGGTCGGGCCAACGGATGCTCAGCCTGCGGGAAGCACCCTGGGGGTGAACGAAGTGGGAAAAGGCATCAGTCTGCTGACGTCAGACGAGCCCATGCGGGCAGCGGTCGAATCGAACGAGGCGATAGCCGGGTCAAGCGGGGAGCATGATCCGAGCAGTTCTTTTGCCGGCGGCGGCGGCAACAGACGGGAGCCGTCTAATGGGGCGAGCCGGGTGAGTGGAGGTCCCGCGAATGCGAACGGGCACAGTGTGAACGGGCACAGTGTGAACGCCCGTAGCGTGAATGGGCGCAGTGTGAGCGGCAGCGGAGAGGCTGAAGAGGAAGTGTCGCACGCTCGCTTTGGCGAGTTCACCACCCCCGAGCCCGTCAGCGCGTCGCGCATCGCGAGTCAGGTCGTGCGCAGCGTTCTGGAGAGCGCGGGCGCGGGCGCCGGGTCACGGCACCCCGTCACCCGTTACGGGGAAGTCCGAGACGGGCCGTTTAGCGGGAGCGCGGATGCGCGGACGCGTGCCGGGGCGTCGGACCGTGCGTCGCGGAATGTTCAACAACTAGGCGCGGGGGCGGTTCCCAGTTTAGAACAGCGTGCGCAGGCAGCAGCGGAGCTTCCTCCGGACGCGGAGGAACGGGGAGGTGCAGCGGTCGGGAGCAGTGGCGGTGCGGGGCTACGAGATGGCGGCAGGGGGATAGGAGATGGAGGCGATGAGGAGATGGACACGGACGAGGAGGAGCTGGGCAGCCGGACTCATACGGGCATGTCAGAGCTGGTGAGAGGGCGTTCGCTGATGACGTCAAAGATTGGTTCCTTTTGGTGTGCTTTTGGATATTCCACTCCTCCGCCCGCTTCTTCCCTTTTTCCGGTTACGAAGGTAATTCCCATCTCAGAAGATAGCAAGCTGAGGTCAAAACTGTTAAAAACCGTTTCAAGATTTCAGGTATATGAGTCGCTTTCAAAATCATGACCAGCAAACCTGATGAAGTTGGCTAGAAAAGGAACCGTTGTGCGGACTTGTCTGATGGTGATTTTGGTGGTCAGGTACACCCAATGGGTGCCAAACAAGAAGACTGGAAATCACAGCATCAAAGCGTACTTCTTTTGACCGAAGAGTACGTATGATCAATGCAGTTGCCATACTGCCTCAGTATCTGGGGAAGGTCCGCAAAGAACCGATTGGATCCGGTACGTAGCACATCAGCGCGTCTAGGGACAAAGGTTCGGTCGCTGTGACTTCTTGCACGTCTTTCAGTGTGGACTGAGAAGTCGTGTCTGATAGAAGCATTGTCGCACTGCAGGGTGGGGACACACTCGATGTGGACTCTGGCCCGAAGGGGCAGGTGAGGACAGTGCCGAAAGACGGAGGGTTTTCTTTATAACGCCTTCGAAGTTGTTGACGGGTAATTTTAGGTACTGACATTCGTTGAACATATATTTCACTCCTTCACGTGCACATTTGTGAGTCTATTTCCGGTTGATTCTGCGATATTACTTTGAGAGCCTTTCCGGTCAAATTGACAGCACTTTCTTGTAACCGTTTCGAGAAGGAACCTGCTGAGGATTTGATGGTCGACATCCTACTTCTCATGGGAGTCTCGCAAGCTGTCCTTCTAAGTTCCTTGCTGTTTTGGCAGTCGGGTTCGTCTGCTTGAACTTGTTCTAGACAGAGCGACGGCCAGTTGCTTGGGATGGCTTCAAGCACAGTCTGGATTTAGCTGGAGAGCTTTTCTGGTCCCGGTTCCGCTCCAATCTAAGATTCTGTGTTTGGTGCTCCGTCTTTCTGATGCCAGCGGCTATGCAAATGTGAGGAAGAGGGGAAGGCATTTCCTGATAGCAGGCCCAACGGAAAAGAGTTGTCCCCTCGTAATGGAATGATTGCAATAAGTGTGCGCTGTAGCCACCGCGAAAAGTTTTGGTACGGCTGCCGTTCACTTTTTGTAGAAGAGTGTGTTCGCGCGAGCGAGACGAAGAACTTGCGTGTCAGGGGAAGAAAGTCGATGTCCGGTGCAGTGCTAGCGTTCCAGCCTGTTTGCCGTGTTGTCAGCTGCAGCAATTGAACCTTGTCGAGTCCTGGTCCGCTTCAGACATTAGATTTGACACCGTTGACACCATCCAAAGGCAAAATAGCCGTGGAGTTTTATTAGATTGTTGGTTGCTTGAAGCTTCAGGAAAGTCAAGTATTCTGAATCTTGGGTGCTCAGTATGTTTTACATTGATGGTGCAATGGGTAGGATTCATCTTCTGTGTAGATTTTGAATCACAGCTCCTATTCTCACAGCTCTTATTCATTGTGCAGATCGACGACTTCCGGCGGATAATGCGGGAGCGGTTCCTGGAGGGCCAGGACGGAGAACACGTGGACTACCGGGCGGTTGACAGCGATGCGAAGCTCGACGACGACTGGCTGGGGCAAGTGGACCGGGACGCGCAGGAGAAGTACTTTGATGAGGACTGAGCTTGCATGAGGACTGAGCTTGCCTCTTAATGGCGAGGGCGAGAGCCGTGTAAATGTATATAGATGGTCGACAGTTTGAGCGAGTGGCCCAGGCAGAAACGTGGTCGGTTGTTCAGGTGGCTGCTGGCAGCGCAAATCAGTAAAGGTCGTGGGCACTCAGTGTTACAAGACAATTGTTTAAGGAGTCCGTTCGGCGAGTGCAAGCCTGCCGACGGGGTTCACTGAATCTCTGTCATGGATCACTTGCAGAGTGCATGCAGTCGGTTCTGTACAAAGTTGTATTATATTGTATATATTATTGTAGCTTGTGTACATCCAACTTAGTTCTAACCGAAATGCAGAATTATCATGCTATTGCGCACGATCGGATGTGGCATGTTTGATCAGATCATGAGATGTTACATGTGCATGCACATGATCGCTAAGACTGTCGCGGAGGATCATAGATACGTGTACCACTTCGAAGCATGAGTTATGTACATTGCACTGAGGCTTTACTATATGGGCGGGTGGCCGCGGCCGGGCGGCACGCGCGCAGGCTATACTGATTGTGATCTATATATAATCTATAGCTCCTAGCTGCAGGTTATATACAGTGTCCATGCTATTTCAACTGGAATTCAGGGCGCGGCCGCTGACCACATCAAGCAATACTTGCTGGGTTACTACCCAGCGGGCAGGCCGCGTCTCACCCGGCGCCCCGCGCCACAGTCAAACATGCTTTATAACATGGCGAGACCGTCAGTGTGTGCGAGCTTGATCTGTAGATCAGTTCGAATGAATGTCAGCCTAAGTCACTCGCACACTGAGCCGCGCGCCCGCCTGCGCTGAAAGATGCAATGTGAGTGTATCAATATCCCAAGCTCGATCCGTTCAATCGAGTCGGACTGACCGGCACGGGATGGCGGCAGGCAGCGTTGACCCTAGGCCGCTGCGATATAAGCACACGTGCCTCTCGCCATCATGGCAAGACACCAAGCTGATGAATGCTGCTCATGTCAGCTGTTCAGAATCAAAGGATGCTATTGCAAGAGGGCCCTATTTTGCATGCGTTTGGGCGCCTCTCGAATGCATGATTAGCAGGCTTAAAACTTTATTCGAACCGGAGTACGTTTCAAGTTTCCAAGGAAAACCTCAAGAGCCAATTATGGACATCTTGTTGATCGCTCTACTATCAACCAGTCCTTTCGGCTGTCCTTTGCAATGCGTATCTCGTTGTCTATATACACGGTTTGGAACCTGCACAAGGCGCAGACTCTTCAGTACGACTTAGAGACAAATAGATGAGAGTTGGCATATCCGAGAAGCTCCTAAACCAACAGTCGAAAGACAGAACCTTTGAGAAGGCTTCGGACTTTGGACAACGAGCTGAAGTCCGGCAGGGCTCTCGGATCCAAGCACTGGGAAAATGCTGAAAAAAGTTGAACGAACAAGGTTGAACAGCTATCCATTTTCATCACCAGACCAAGTCGACATCTGTCAGACAGTCAGTGCAATGCAGAGAGGATGAATAACTCTTACCATCCTTGGCCAAAGGGAGGGACCGGGATGGCCCATTTTGGAGTCACAAGTTCGGCCGACTCAAATCTGCACATCTCAATTAATGCTCATGAACACAGGGCTAGAGAAAATTCAGCAACCATCCACTCAGACATGCCTCTTGCTCTCCGCATACTGCACCTTGATTGCCAAAAGAGAAGAAATTTGTGAATTCAGTCATAAGCAACGTGTGGACTAGCATTACCATTGATCAGCTTCGGCCTGTAAGCTGCGGAAGTCACTCTTACTTGAAGTTGACGGTGTTGTAGTTTCCATTAGTGGCCGGTTGAATGCTTGCCGCAACCGCGAACCGGCCGCTTGGAGGAAACTCGATGATGTTGTTCAACGTCTGTTCTTTGGCATTGATCACCTAGTGAAATGAAACATAGAAGGAATAATGAAGCTTTTGGTGGAGTGCTTGACAGTAATCACGTGGTGCATCAGGCCAGATTCTAGGAGTCTGTCAGGCCAGAGAATGGCAGGTGATGAAGGAGATTGGCAAATCGATGGGGATTGGAACAGTCTTGTCTTGTGCATCAGCTCCACAGTGACAAGGACCGAATGAATGCAATGAAGAGATGGTGAGAACACTTGACAGAGACTTAGGCTTTCAAATGGCCAAGCGTTTGCACGCAAATCACCTGCCACACATCACCGGCTGTAGTGCCAAACACACCAGCCCGTTGCAGTATGAACAGAGTCTCCTTCTCGGTCGTCCATAGCAACTTCCAATCAGCAGTTAGACTTTCTGCCGAGATCTCCGGACAGCAGGATTTCGCATCTATGTTCCGCAGAATCTGCAGGACCTTGGCTGTCTTCTCTGGCATCTGAGCATTCTTTGTGCCCCGCTCCAGTCCCTCTACTGCGGACAACAGTTCCTTTTTGATATCAAGTAAGTTGCTGTCAAGAGTTTCTGCTGAGGAAGCGGTAGCTGCATTTCGAAACCGGGCCCTCTCGCATGTTGGCCGCTGGGGAGTCCAGCTTTTGTGACAACTCGAATTCTGCTGACAAGAAATCCGCCTGCTACATAATTGGATTGCTTTCTGTTGTCCAGCGGGAGAAGAGCAACCTTTCGTGAAATGAGCTCGCTGTTCGGCTGACCTGCCTCCTCTTTGAACTTCAGCAACACTTGTTTCAGGCTTTCCTTGGAAAGCGCACCGCAGATGACTAGCTCTCGTCAATTGCGCTGCGTCCATTGTGCACAAATTTGCGTGAAGTTTTTACATACTGGTGATTGCGTCAAACCTGATACCGACCGACGTTACCCGTCGCACACTACCTCGCACTAACTCCCCGCTTATACAGCGCATACTTATGCGGGTTTCGCAAACCCCTCGCAGCGTATCGAGACGAGTTCGATTGGGTCTGGTCGCTCGGTCGATTGGCTGCAGGCAACGCAGGCAGAGCCTGCCAATTTTCACTTTATTGATCACGACATTGGTTACAGTGTCGTAGCAGCCCCATGCCTTTGATGGGTACGGGCTTCTGAGAAGAGAACATCACGAGTTCGAATCACGTTCATCCGCAGCGACACGAAAGCTTTACGCCGCAGTAGCC